AAACTGTGATGTTGCGTCGGTGGGAGAGTATAACAGGGTAATTAAGTTTTATCAACTGAGTTGATAACGTAAACTGGCCCCCGTAAATAGTTTAAAAGCTGACGTTTCGAGCGGTGGCCCTTCGTCAGAGCGATGGACTACTATTAAACCAGTTCTATTGCTAGCTGGAGAATTTCTTTCCAGCTGTAGTCTCCAACTGTTTGCACAAACACTGAATTATAGAAAAAAGTTAATACTCCAATTAAAAAAATCTTTTTAAGCTGGCACTGGTTCGCCTGAGTCCACGGTAGACTTTGGAAAGGCTTTCTGGCAAACAATTAGTGCCAATAAAACATGTGTCCTTGTTTAGTTTGGAGGCCCACATGTTTTCCAATTGGCCTTGAAAGAGTCTAACTGAGTCTCACTGTTATTTTAACTTTTGAGTTTTAAGATGGTTAGACATGTACTGTCAATAAAACTATAACTTAGCGTTTCTGTCCGAGAATTCCTTTTTTTATTATTATCACTTTTATTATTATTATTATTTTAATGGTGCTGCTGTGTAATTTTTGGTGACTTCCGAAGATCCCGACAATTATCGTGACGTTCTCCTGCCGGGGAGACGCTTGTAAAAGCTACTTATCACTCTGCAGGGTTCGTGGTCTGTGCCCCAACAGTTTTAACTTGACTGCCTTCATCTTCATAATAAGACAGCCTCCAGAGCTTCGACTGAAGGTGACAGTACCACCAAGGCTTGAAGTAACTGGTGCCTTCGATAATATGGCGCTTGCATATTTGGGATTAAACAAGAAACGTGTTGTTGTTGTGAAAAATTTTTCTTTTTTTTTCTTCTTTTTTTTCAGGGTTAACTTGAACTTTTATAAGTTTTCGGTAAACTAAGGACTGAGCCAAAAGCTGTCACGCACTAAAATGAGAAACCACTTGACGGGCTATCTAGTCAGTCATGCGCAATGATTCTTACCAAGTGTGCGTGAAGTTAGACAAGGGACACAGACAATAGCGTGATGTTTTCCTCGTGGCTCAACAAAGCTAATAAAAGGCTCTTTTTGAAATCGATTGTTTCTTTCTCTAATTAAAAATTATAAGGGAGGAGTCGTTAATGAATAACCACTAAAAATGTTGTCTTTTTGTGACTCTACTATGACGACTGCTTCGTTAACTTGGTGAAATACTCTCGAGTTGTAAAAGGTTTAAGTGATTGTTGCAAGGAAAAATGAAAAATAGTAAGAATGAAATATAAAAAACTAACTCCGTGACTTGCTATGTAAATGGATGATTTCTAATTTGAAAGCCAGAGAAGTATGCTTAGAAACGTCACGTGTTGCGAAACACCATTTCGCAGCTTCGAATAGCGTTTGTGATTGTATATGTAAATGACAGTCTTCTCTCTTGACTGGTCTTGAATGTATTACGAAGTAAATTTTTAGAAATTCCACATGGCGCTATGTACTTAAACTGCTCGTTACGAGAAAAGAGAAAAAAATTTTGAATGAAAAATTTTAAGTAGACGATAATCATCCAGGGCCAATTCTGTGTAGTCCGTGAAACTAGGGTGACTTTGATATGTCTTAGAAATGTTGATAATTATGCAAAGGGTAACGTACGAAATATTGAAATACAGAGTTAGAATCATAGGTGATTGATGTAATATATAGAAAGATGGGGACTTCAGAAATTTTCTAAGGATTACAAATTACTGATAACCTTTCAGAGAGTGACAATCATTTGATGAAGTATCTTATGGTCTGTTGACATCTCAAGAAAAGAAAATACATTCCCATATCTATACTCTCTCTTCACTTAGTTACCTTCAATCCAAATTGTCATTCACGTATTTAGGCAGTTGAATGGCAGGAGCCGTGATGTTTATCCACTTCCCGTTTCAATCGCGCATTTCATACTCAAAACGTGGGTAAAAATAACTAACATTGTAGAGTTCGCTTTTACGATTTAACGTAATAAAGCTGGAAGGTGGAAACTTAAACGGTCAGTTTTGTGCATAATCTCAAATTTTCAAGTACTGAGGAAAGTGATACTGACTGAACGTGCCTTAAGTTTAAGTATTAGGAAAATGTGAATACGAAGTTGCGCAACATAAGTGGATGAGACAGGTGTGAAGCGAGCACAACACACTGAGCAGAACATCAAAACAAATGTTTGCCGCCAATGTGCTGCATCGCAATTAAATACAATAGCGACACCAAGCCATGACCTGTTGGTACGTTGCAACACAACTAAACGGCGTGTCTTTACTTAGAGGCTCGAAGAAAACTGAATTCACCAACCGATCACTATGGCTAATACTTGAACCAAATAAAAATAAAGTAGTGATGCGTGTTTTTCCACAGTCAAGTTTTAGTGGGGCTCACTAATCATGATCACTCATGATATTTATGTTATTAATTTAACTAGGAATTAATTCCTTGGTTATATGTTAATTAACGTGACCGTATCGTTAAACCCGCCTCAATTGTCTTTTTTACTTTCATTTCAATCATTCCTGCTAATTTTTATCTCTGCAATTTTTATGGTGGACCACGTTGGTTGAAATGGGTGCGAGGTTCGTCTCCTTTTCAATTTAACCACATCTTTTGTACGTGTGAAATGCGTTAATTTTGGGCAGAAAAAGATTTTTCTTATAATTGCAGTTAAAGGCGAATATGACATTGAGTGAGTTTAGTTTCTCGATAAGTTCTGTCTAGTTTCTTGCCGAAAATTAAGAGACAGTTAACAGCAGCCCAGAGACAACAATTTTTGCGCTGAGTTGATGTAAAAATGATCGTAATTGAAATTAGGAGAAGGCGGCGCTGGAATAGATTATATTCAAATCTATAGAACGAACTCAAACCGATCGTGATTTTCTTAGTGATCGCATTATTCTATGTGCGAAAGAGGTGTACATTTTAAAGAAAAATGTTTTCCTCATGATGCCCGGCATGTTCAACACAACCTCCCGTTGGTCATCTTCAAGTTGTTGCACTAGGTTACACCAAGGTCAAAAGAACTGTACCTCTTTACACTCCATTGAAAAGGTCCCTCTACGAATACAAACTCGTGTCGCTCTTAAAAGTAAACCGCGTTTCTCTTGTCGGCTGTACTTAAGTTGCAAACATGCGAGTGATGTGTCTTCATCAATACAGTTTGAAAATGGCTGCTGTCGAGATTTGCATTTGAAAAGGCGAGTCGGGACTGCTATTGAATATAAGCACCAAATTAGAAAAGAATTACGGAAACAGAAAGACCTGCTTTCCAATTATCAACGAACTGTGTATTTATGAAACACTAATATCATCATGGAAGTAATAGTAAAAATCTGAGAAAAAGGGAAGTATGGGATAATTGAGTTCTAGTGATTGTGGGTGTACGGGACTATGTTTCTCTGAGGACCTCTAGACCTTAGCGCTTTAAAGGCACTTCCGGTCCCCCCGGCCGGCCTGAAATCCGCCTCAGAGACCTGAAATGGGATTTTGTCGACAAAAAATGATCGACCAGTGAATAAAATTATCAAGATTTGTCTTGTAACTAATAAGTTCAATCTGTTCCGAAATTACTTTTGTGAGTGGCTTCGCCAGCCTCTTTTTTCAGTGTTTAAGAGTTTTTTAGTTCTTTTAAATCATTACAAGCTCCCTGGAACCTTGTTAAAAGGGAACTGGAGGCTCCCTCAACAAACGATTTACTGACCAGAGAACTGGCCAAGCTCTGCGTGAGGAAGTTGGAGCGTCTAACAACTTAGCCCTTTAACCCCCTAGGAGAAACAATTATCTAATTTCTCCTTACAATATCACCCCTGAATCAAACACGAAGGTCACGAGAATAAAGAAAATTATCACCTCTTGATTTTAAAACAAATCCTCCTTGTCAGTACCTTAGGAAATGGGAAATGTATAGAGAACAGTATGGAGAATATGCATACTGATATAAGGGTTAAAGGGTTAATGGTCCCCAGCTCTTTTGAGGTGCCTCATCGTGGTTCAGCGGTATACTTAGGCTGACGGCGGAACGTTTACGCTGCGATGAGGCTAGTGGGTGCTTATTAAGATCTTCGGGGCCAACCACCCAAAGAGAAGTGGAACACCGTTTACAGGCTTTACCAAAAAAGCAGCTTTGCGTGGCCTATTCTCTCAAAACAACATTTTACATTGGTGCTCGTTCAAGTACTTGTATGAGATATAAGGAATTTGTCAGGCTAGGTATGAAAATTTGCATCCATTACAGCGCCAGCCCTGAACAAAACTAGTCGTGCTGGTCGAAATGTGGGTCTATCAAAAGTTCCGTTTGTTTATATTTTCTTAGGAGCCCCTCAAAACTAAACGAGTTGTTACAGCCCAGGGTCAGATTAAAGGAAAGAAAAATAAAGGAACGGTGGCATTTTAATTAACTTCTATGAGAGCTTATAATGCATCACAATGTAACTTACATAACGAAACTGACAACGGACTCGAAAACAGTTCGCTAATAGTGAATACAAACAAACAAAGTCGAAAATACCACTGGTTCAAGACTAATCGATCGTGAAACAATGTTGGGATGTCAAGCATTGCAAGGAAGGGAATTTGCAACAAGTCACTTTATTTATTTATTCCCCAGCAAACCAGATCTGTTCCCTCTTAATTCAGCCAACGAAGAACCACACTCGACATTCAAACGATCACAGACTTTAAGTTCATTATGGCAGCTGTCGACGTGCCAAGATGTCAACTTCAATTCAGTCCACTATGAAAGAACAAAAAGTTATTTCCATGAAACAATTAAAAAATTAATAGTTCAATGGAAGTTTGATGAGACATAAAAGATTGATTACATGTGCAGTTTGGTGCTTGATGGATTTAAAATATTGAGGATTTGCAGACACGCTTAATGAAAAATCGTTAGCTACTCCTCAATTCTCTCCCTCGTGTAACCGTGCAGAAATTGACAGAAGTACCCGATTTGATACTTTTGATAAATTCTTGGGTCTTTGGGTTAGAAGAGAGTGACTAGGTATCAATGGACGTACGTACTTACGTCAAAATTTTGTCAATCATCCCATTCCATTGTTTTTCACCCCAGTTTGATGAGGCATCAACTCCAATAAATACGTCATTTAAAAAGAACGTAGGTGTTCCCATCACTGCCTCTCTGGAAAATACACGTAGAAACTTACCCATGATGCCTGATCTTGTGAACTGTAAATTCCCAGCAATAGATAGCTGAGCACTATTGCTCTTTGTTTTTTCCCCCTGCTGTATTTGCTTGCGACCGTACACAATAAAATCGACAACGAAATCGCGCGCCGAAGGGTAAAGAGTCTCAAACCCGGCTGCAGATGTGTATATATATTAATAGCAGCAAAGTTATCTCGGGAAATGTTCGTCATGCTCAGTTAATGCAGTTTCGTATGTTAAAAGGGTCATCTACCACAGGTAAAGTTTTTCTTGTAACCGCACCTGATGTTTTACTACCCCTTAAGGGGGCTCTTCACCTAATTAGCTTACTAGAACAAGCGAATTTCCAAGCCATGCGTGCCTCGGACTCGATGTCATGACTTCTTAGTCCGTCACTCATCACCCTTGAGAGAATGCCAGTTCTTTTTGCCATCTGCGTGATAACTCTAGCAATTTGAATAACACAAGTTTTCATCTTAAACTGATAGAAGGATACAATGAACATATATGTTGTGAGGCACAAAACATAATCGAGTTATCAAAACGAGACGGTTATTGATACCGTTTAGTCAATTACAATTTCAACAGGAGCGGAAGGGGGGGGGGAAGAGAGTTGGGGTCATAAAGTGCGGACGACTTTCTCTTTGTCAATGAGAAGGGCCCTCTTGTATTCTTTAGCAAGACGCTAGTCAACATCATCATCGGTGGACTTCTTCTTTCACTCCTGCATCCTAAGAGACATTTTGTTTTTACCAAGGGGAATGGACACCGAATGCTCTTAAAAGCCGAAAACAAACTCGTGGAAATACACTTGCTTGACTGATCTCTTACTGTACAATATCCTCTGGGCTCATTGTCCAGGTCCTCGCCGAATTCTTGAGCTGATCTTGGTTTTTGAAAACATCATCCACCCATGGGAACAGTAAAGACGAATTGTAGGCTGCCACTGTGAACACACTCTGTGAAATAAAGTGTAAACAGGGTGCATGCCATGTCAAAGTTGAAGCAAGACCTACTTGACTTGAAGCTTGAAAAATGGCGACCTAACCGACAAATTTCGACATAGCACTCAGTGTTATGCTCAATGAACTGTCTTGTGTAAAACCGGGAATTACTTTAAAGACGCGTTTAAAAGTTCAATTTTTTCTCTCATTCCTTCCAGCCCCTCCCTTTCCCATTATGACCACGCCTCTTTGGAGTTAATACAAACTGATGGTTGCAAATATTAGGCTCTATAAAAGGAATCACGGTACTAAAGGGGAATAAGGAAGAAAAAAGATGCCAAAGAATCCCTAATACTTAATACAGGGTAAGGGGTAGGGGTAGGGGAAGCTATAGTAACGGTTGAAAGGCCAACGAAGTTGACTTGTGAAATTGAAGTTTATGTAGCCAAGTGGAAGCGCTGCTCAGAAATCTAGTGACTGTCGCGAGGTTTCTATGTGATCATCTCGAAATTTCAAATAGCGTACCCTTGAAGAGGGCGTTTGCAAACAAATTTCCGAAGCCTTTGGACGTAAAGGCAAAATATGGAAGACCTCGACGCTGTCTAATGTTACCTTTAAAGCCCTGAAGGCGTTGTCAAAGTACGCGAGGGCGAAGAAATGAACTGTCAGACGAATCTTTGTTGGTCCATACTTGTTGGCAAGTTTCTTAATCATAGGCCAAACTCGCTTCGAGTCAGCACAAGTGAGATCAAGAAATGCTGATAAGTGAATCGCAGCGTTAGATTTTCCACCATTGAAAACGAACCCTGGTGTACGTCTGGGAAGAGGGAATGGCAACATCGGAGGGTCGACATCGTCGTCTTTGAGGTGAGCAAGAAGTAATCAAGAATAACGAATTATTTTGGTAACTTTTCTTGAATACCATGCTTTTAATTAGGGCTTAATATGGAACCTCTATCAGCAATATGAATACGCTATCCAGCAAACGGGCAGAAAAACGGGAGATCAGACATACATATCACCCTTAGAGAAATGAGTAACTGCGGCGGAGAACCACACATCAAGTACTAAGTTTTTGGGGTCTTCATTTCATTCTCCTGCGCGTTAGATTTTCCACCATTGAAAACGAACCCTGGTGTACGTCTGGGAAGAGGGAATGGCAACATCGGAGGGTCGACATCGTCGTCTTTGAGGTGAGCAAGAAGTAATCAAGAATAACGAATTATTTTGGTAACTTTTCTTGAATACCATGCTTTTAATTAGGGCTTAATATGGAACCTCTATCAGCAATATGAATACGCTATCCAGCAAACGGGCAGAAAAACGGGAGATCAGACATACATATCACCCTTAGAGAAATGAGTAACTGCGGCGGAGAACCACACATCAAGTACTAAGTTTTTGGGGTCTTCATTTCATTCTCCTGCGCATCAAAAGCAAAGAAAATTGATTGCGAGTGGGCCTTGATAGTCTCACTTGATTACCAACATGTACCAACATTAAATTCTGTAATGCTCTGTGTCGATACTGATTGGTCTCCAGTTTCTGAAACTGGTTTAACGTGACAGCAAGTATGAATGTAAGCTTACTCAGCCAAAATGAGTAACCTTTGAACTTCTGTGACCTAATACATTCATAGCGGCAAAGCGTATTTAGTTCAACCGGGTTTACCTGAATGTAAATCAGAAACGGAGAACTGAAAACTGAAATTTTTCCCAGCCGGATTCAATTATTCACTAACTTGTATATTTGAAGTCGACCAGCATTGGTTTAACAGCTTCTAGGAGGAAAAGCCATTTAAATCGTGTTTAAGAAAACAGCTCAGTTTAAAACTTTAAAGGCTTGGTATGAATAAAGTATTATTTCTATTACGACTTGGAGGATCCAATGATGCTAACTCACTGTTGCCTGACCTTTATGTGACGAGTTTTCACTTCAGAAAAATCCATCCAATTATTAGTTAATTTCGATGTTTAATTTTTGAAGATTATATATTCGTAAACGTACTTACCTTTGGAATTAGAAGCGAACACAGTAACAAGGAATCCGAATACCACATAAAGTTTTAAGGGTTCGGATCCACGGGGTCTGATTGAAGTTGTATTCAAGAGGCTCATGGTTAACGGGGGAATGTCGGCGCACCAAGTAACGCCGCACCCTCAAGATTTTGGGCCGCTAAACACTAGTGGAAATAGCCGTGAAGTTATGCTAAAGCGAAGAAAAACAAACGACTAAAATTGCATTTGTAATGGACCATGTTTAAAGAAGCTGTTGTCATTCACCAACCAAAACGTGCCTAAGAATGAGGACTCACTTAAATGAAGGACAGGAGGCTATTCATTAAACAAATCCATAGAAGGATTTTAATTACGGTAAGAGGCATTCATCGCGATTTATTGAAAAAAGGAATCATGGTGTAGGCACTTCGGGCATGACGGAATAACAAGACTAATAAAAAAAGCTCCATTTCTAAGAGTAATTCTGCATGCACGATAGTAAAACTGAATCGAAACATTCCACGTGGCCGCTTAGAAAAAAGAAAGATACGAGAGTTATCATATGATTTTTGCCACTGTGCGATTTACTTATATTTTCCTTCGCCTATGACGTTTGGGATAATGGATCACGATAATGACATAACACTGAGCTTCTGCTCGCTTTGTAGGACGTGAGTCCAAATACAGCTGTGACATTTTTGTTCGACATTGAATTAATGCTTTTTTCCTATGCATATTATTTTCTTTCGACTTCCTCGATAAAGTCCACAGTGAGGCTCTCGTCTTACCTACCTATCATAACAGAGAGATCAATTCGTGGTAGCTTGATACTTCTGGTATATCCTTGGTGTAACATTTCTTAAATTATTCCTTGTTCACAAATCATGAGCAGTCGTTGGTTTTTGTTTTAAATGACTCGGAGTTATACCTGGCAAATGGTTAAGAGATTGTCAGCCAATTAAAAAAGTGGTCAAAAATCCAAATAAATGCCCTAAAACAAGTGGAAAATAGAGGGTAGATACCCTGGTGTGTTCGCAACGAGTAGTGGACAGGCTTTTTTGGGTTTAGATGGCCTTATGCAAGGAATATCCTTGGTGAGTCCTATTGTGGCAGATAACCATGGGAAGGTTTGAGAGTTGGTGAAGAGATAAGTTGGACAAATTTACAAAGTAATCTTTAAGCAGCACCTTGTGCAAGTTTCCTAAAGACAAAGCACCAGAGGCAGTTAATTAGGGTTTCTCCTGGTGAACCTTAATTATATCTTGAGGAACCCAGTCTCTGTGAGTTGTTATGGTATAATCTAACTGACCGAAAAACACTACAATCGCACAAACTCAACTACTTTATTAAACAGTGAGTAATGTTCTTAACAAGGAACGACTCCTAAAAACAGTACAATACTTATCGTTAATAAACTTAATAAAGCCCACCACAGTCTATATCCCAGCTCACCACTGACACAATCTCACTGCTGTCTCCAAAGCTCCTTGAAATAAGCGGTCTTCCGCAGTAACTCTCTCTCGGTATGGCTTTCAAAACAGTCGTAGCTCCGACAACAACTCTTACTACTACATAAGTGAGTCTTTATATATATTCGCAAAGTGTTCTGGAACATTCCAGAAGCTTATGTAAGAACTATTTTAGTGATAATACTAATAAATGCGTGACTTGATGCAACTTCCTGGAAAGTTCTATGGTATGCAAGTCAGCATGACTCGGCAGTCTGGATGTAGGCAACAACAATTACCCATAACAGCATGTTGTTCAGGTTTAAAAGAACGCACTCGACCTTTTCGTGGTGTAATTACAGTTTTGCAAATGGAATAAGAAAGATGATAAGTTTTGAGCTCAGTAAAGAAATAGAGAAAGAGGTTTTCTCGTCTTGTCACGGGGGGGGGGGGGTTGGAAAAGAAACAAAGAAAAATTCTGAGTCCCCATGCGAAATCGAACCTCAGATCTTTGGATTCCGCGCTCCAATGGTCTAACACTGAGCCACAGAGATTCTATGGTGATCAAGGCGCATTACGAAGTTCATATATGACACCCGTCCTGCATACAGCTAAGATCAGCAATGTCGATAGCGTCTAAACTTCTCATGGGATCCCTTACACAGAATGATGACGAAGTGGAATTTTATCATGGGATGTTCGAATTACCATCAAACTTCAACTTACCAGAAGTCTCGTTTAATCTTTAATTTATCGGCTTCCTTCTCTTCAGAAGAGGACAAATCACTATAGATTATAATTTCATCGCATTTTCCATTTGATAACATTTTCATAGATTTATAGTTTGTTTTAGTTACCTGAAAAGCAGCGCACGGACTCTGGAATGCACCTGCGAGGTCCACCACCCAAATGAATAATAATGAGTTATCGACAGTGTATCCACCTAGAAGCTTATACGATTGTATCACTATTACCAATCTCTGTTACATTTTTATACAATATCCTTTTATAGTTCGATATCATTGCTTTTTATATTGTAGATTCATACTTTTTTATTGCAGTTTTTCATTTTTATATAGTAGTTTCTTGATAATGGTTTATTTACAGTGTATCAACCTAGAAGCTCTTCACCTGTTCAGAAACTACGATATAAAAATGAAAAACTGCAATAAAAAAGTATGAATCTACAATATAAAAAGCAGTAATATCGGAATACTAGCCAATAGAAAGCCGTCATCAGTAAATCTGACCTGTAAATAACCCCAATCAACAGTTTACTGTGTTTGTTTTTCCCTTAGAGCTCCAGCCATAAGTGCTCCAGGTCCGGCTGAGTTTTTTCGATGTCAAAGCACCGTCTATAGGCAACGTTTTTTTTTTTATGTAGGCACCCACTCCCCCACTTTTTGTGGCCACACGATGGCGAAATTCTGTAGCATACCTATCTATTGACACGTAGTCAAGCAGTTCCTTTTGATCTCGCAACCATGTTTCACTAAGTAAAGCAACATCCAATGTACATGTCTTAATCGTAAGTAGAAACTCTTTGAAGGTTGACGTCATTGCTTGAGTATTCAGATGCATGACTTTAAGATTACTGTAGTTGGAGGATTTCTTTAATATTATCAACCAAGATTTCATCAAGAAAAGTGTCAGTGGTTGTCCAACTCAGAGCATGTGTGGAAAGGCAGTAAGGATACTAAACACTGGCCACATGTCCATGTCAGTGGTGTGTCGGCACGGACTTGTTTTACGTTAAAGCTAGCGACTCTAGAACAGCGAGCATGTGTTAATGACATGCAGACCTCGCAAAGGACACGCTTTTGATTTTTCCGAACTGTTTTCTCAAAAAAAGGACAAATAGCAGCAAAAATGTTGCGGTCACTCATTCTTTTATTTTTGGACGTGTCAGGAGTTGGGCTGGGATTTGATGCAATATCTCCAACAGACATTAACAGCTGATAGGTACCCACACTATTCGGACAATATGTTGTTCTCGACGCATGTCTCTTGGCCCTTTTAACGCCCGAAAAAGCGCATTTACTTTACCGCTAACCGACCCCGCCTACGGACACACATGGGAAAGTGACAGAGCCCACTGTATTACAGAATGAACAATAGTATCTTATACGATGGCTCAGGAGGCTCACAGTCCAGTTTTATTTTTTCACAGTCCAGTTGTATTTTTTCACAGTCCAGTTTTATTTTTTTCACAGTCCAGTTTTACTTTTTTACAGTCCAGTTTTATTTTTCCACAGTCCAGTTTTATTTTTCCACAGTCCAGTTTTATTTTTCCACAGTCCAGTTTTATTTTTTACACAGTCCAGTTTTACTTTTTTACAGTCCAGTTTTATTTTTACACAGTCCAGTTTTAATTTTTAATTTAGTTACCAGCTCTCTATATTGAGACGCAACCGCTATACGCATGCTCACGTGCTGTGAAGGCTTTTAACGGGAATTTAACACTACCAGTTTGTCTTACCTGATTCACGAAGTGAAGAGATACCTTTGCCAATATATACGCCATGTATAAGAGTAAATGACGGATCCGCTGAAGATTATCTGGAGCTCATATCACAATATTTCAGACAAGACTACGATAATCTGGAAATACTTGAATTTCTGAAGCTCCATGGGGTGAGTATTAGTTTATCAACTCTGAAGAGAAGGCTTGCCTCTATAGGATTATTAAGAAAAACTAACATCTCTGATGATGAACTGAGAAGTGCCATTGAGAAGGAACTTGGTAAAAGTGGTTGTTTTGTGGGATACCGCAAGATGTGGGCAAGGATAAGAAAGAGGGGACTGAATTATAGTCAAAAGAGCAAGAGCAGTGACTCTTTTGAAGGAACCAGATCCCGACGGTGTAGAAACCTGGTGAAAGAAAAGGTTACGTCGTCGTGCATATCATACAAAAGAGGCAAATTTTATTTGGCATATTGATGGCCACGATTAATTAAAGCCATTTGGGTTCAGCGTGCGTGGCTGTGCTGATGGTTTCTCCCGAAGGCTTCTCTGGCTGGAGGTAGGCTCCACAAATAAGAATTCAGAAGTGATTGCCAAGTTCTACCTGGACACCGTGAAACAGTTAGGTGGTATACCCCGGAAGATCAGATCGGATGATGGGACTGAAAAAAGTGTGATTGAGGTACTTCATACTTTCCTTAGGTCATCCCATGCTGATAAAAATGCTGGCCCCAAATTTTTTAATATTGGCAGATCCACAGCTAATCAAAGAATTGAATCCTACGGATCACAATTCGTAAGGGATGGTCCTGGTTGGTGGATCAATTTCTTCAAAGATTTGTCCGACATAGGTTTGCTGCAATGTAAATGAAGATCGCAATATGTATGAGTGCATAACTTAACCAGGTTCCTAAGGGTTCTTATTATGATTAATATTATTTAAGGGCCCCTCCAGGGATTTTGTTGCTAATTTACCCTTTCAGGCTCCAAAGGCCTTGTTTTGGGATTTTGGTACGGTTTACAGTTGTAGGTAAGAGTGGGTCTATCCTTTTCTAATGCTTGCCGCATTGCCTCTTCAGTTGCGCTATTCGTTTTAGCAAGTTTAGTTTTTTAGTTTTTATCTCTCGTATTTTGTCCATTATTTTCTTTGTGGCTTGTTTTTTTCGATGTTTTTCGCTTTGTTGATTTTGTTTTTTGTCATCTTTTTATTAACACCACTTTCTGCTCTTTTACGTGATTTTGTATCTTATTCATTAGTTGTCACCTGTAATTACGTGATCACTAGCACCTCAATCTTATTTAAAGCTCTTTTTTATTCAAAAGTTGTAAATAACTGAAGAAGGTCTCTGACCGAAACGTTTTCATTAAATTTTTTTATCTTTTTTACGACAGAAGTTGTCCATCCTCGCATTTTTTTAACTCTCTCTCTCTCTCTCTCTCTCTATATATATATATATATATATATATACATATATATATATATATATATATATATATATATATATATATACATATATATATATACATATATATATATATATATATATATATATATATATATATATATATATATACATATATATATATATATATATATATATATATGCACATGCATTTCTATATATACACATATTCACATATACACAGGTTGGAACAGGAAACCATCTGGTATACCCACAAATTTTGGGTTTATGGAGAGTAAAAAGAATTATAACATCATCAGCTCTTCTACCAACTTTGGCTACATGAAAAAAGCCTTTAAACTACAGAGGTAAAGGTTCGTTAATCAATGTGGGCTGACCATGATAAAAGGTCTGAGGAGACCAATTGCCTAAATTGTCAAGTACAATGTAACCTTAGCTTTTCCTACAAATTTTGTAACTTGCTTGAAAAAGATGAATGATGAAACTATAACAGCAAAACAATGAAAACATACTTAAGAAGGGTTTCAATCTGAGGTATGTTGCATGGTGTATGTACTGTAGTATACGCTATATTCCTATTTCAAAGAAAATGAAAAACGTTGACTTTTAGATTACTTGGTGACAAAAACGACAAAACAAAGCATACAAATGAAACTGCTATCACAATTTTCAAATGAAAAAACACAGGACATCATTTTACCTGACTATCATGCAAACTATACAGTTTATTCCTTTGTAAGTCACATTATGTCCATCTCCCAAATATCCTTTTCCAAAATGTTGTTGAACTGCTCTCTCAGCTCAACAAAATTAGAATAAATGGAAGGCAGTTCCAAGAGAGGTCCACATGTGTGAGCAATGGACCTACAAGCAGCACCTTCAAATTTCGTGGACGAGACTTCAAGCTTGTTGGTAATCAAGACATCTGATGCAGTTGTGAATCTTAGGAATTGAATAAGCTTACCATTGTCTAAACCTCCTATATAACGTTACAGAAATTTCAGAGCATCGCGTTCTACATCTGTGTTTGGCTGTGCTACTAAGGTTTCTAGAACTTTCTTGTTTGTTGGGTTTAATGTATCATATAGGCCTTGAATGCTACATGTAATGTATGTGCCATGTTGGCTGCACGCTTTTTTCTAAGGTTCTGTTCTATCCTATGTTTTCTCGATTTTCCTGCGTTGTGGCTGGGGAGGTTCGATTACCATCCGAGCCAGAACAAAGATCACCAGATTCCTGACGACCATACGGGGGTTTTTTACGACACGATAGCTCAATTCCTACGCGATTTTTTGCTGTGACCCTTAAAGTGGTTTTCAAGCGTAACGAGGGTGAAACTAATTCGAACTTGAACCTTCCTATTAGCAGAACTACAAGACATGGTACCACCGTCTTGGCTCTTCCTAGCCGAGTTTTCTGGATGGACTTGACTCTCCATATGGATATAGAGGCTAACCCTGGCCCGGAGGAAGACGCAGTTGCGACAAGAAGAAAAAGTTCACTGGAACCGTATTTAAATTATTGCCACCACAACAATAGCCTATTCAAGGAATCAATTACTCAATCTCAGATCGAAAGATTCCATCTCTCAAGACCTCTTACGTCTGCCTAAGAACCAGGACATCTTCAAAAGCAGGGGAGACCGTGCCGGAGTTTCATTCCGAAACAAGATTTTCAATATCCCCACATGTTATAGGCCTAAGAATGATTCCAGATTCAACCAAGTAGGTTCAAATTTACATAATCTCAAATTATTGGAGCGTCTAAATGTAAACAAAGCCAGATCGCCCGTTCATCCACCAGAGATTATTGACTCAGACCGAATTCAAGATTCTCACGTACTTAAAGTTCTTCATCTAAATATTCGTTCGCTCCGAAATTCTGAACACTTTATCCAACTTAAAGAACTGAATAAAAGAGGTAAATTCGATGTTATTACCATCTCTGAGTCCTGACCGAACACGAGCGTTTCATCGCTGGAGGTGAACTTGGAAGGATACAAGCTCTCAAGACTTGATCGGCTCCACATGGGAGGGGGAGGCGTTTGTGTCTATACTCGCAATAATTTGAAAGCTAAGGTTTTAAAAGACCTTTCATCAATTTCCGAGAGAAATTTCCACCAACTCTGGATAAGTCTTCAGTGGAAGAAAACAAAATCAATTGTAGTGTGCAACCTACCGACCAGATGACTGCCCCCTTAGTGCTTTCGAGGATACCCTGAAACCTACTTACATGCCAGCACTGACGCTTAACAAACCCATCGTGATCCTTGGGGATTTAAACTGTGATATAAGGAAAGCCTGCGCGGAGAGCAGAGCGTTAAACAATTTCTCGTCTGAAATGAATCTTCAACAACTCATTAAGCATCCAACAAGGATTACAGCTACAACGAAGTCCCTGCTCAATGTTACTTTGGTGTCCTGCCCTCAGTCGGTACATGGTAGCGGCGTGATCAACTACTCCATCAGTGATCACCTGCCAATTTTTGTAGAGCTTAAGGTGAAAGCACCCAAGCCTTCACCCCACTACATAACAGCACGTAGTTATAAGAACTATGAGCCGAGCGCATTTACTGCTGATCTTGCTAACCAATCAGACCAGCTCTTGTCCATCTTTAGCTGCGGTGATGTGGATACCAAACTTAACATTCTCAATGATGTTGGAAGCACGTTAGACTTGCATGCTCCCGTCAGAACAACCAGGATTCGCCATTGCCCTTGTCCATTTGTATCAAGAGGCATTAAACAACTCATGAAAACAAGAGACCTACTTCACCGCAATTTTTTTCAGTCTCGTGACCCCTCGGATTGGAGTAAATATAAAGAATCCAGGGATACCATCAAAGAAATACTGCGAGAAACAGAGCGGAATTATACTTTTCTTGAAGTTCAACAAAACAAGAGCAATCCTAGTTCACTCTGGAAAGTAATCAATCGCGTTATTCCATCAAAGAACAAAAAGCCTCAACGAGTTTATACCAAAGACCTGAAGACAGTCGCCGATGAGTTTAATGTGTTTTTTACGTCAGTTGGTAAGACTGCAGCCCTCGCTGCTAGTCATCTTGCAGAAATTAATAACATCACTTGGTCAGAGCAGCAGTTACCATCACCGCCTGCTGGAGATCTTTTTGACTTTAAGCGTGTGTCGTGTGAAGAGATGCGACGCATTATTTCATCTTTGCCGCTGAACAAGTCTCCAGGCCCTGAAAAAATACATACCCGAGTTTACAGGGATTGTCTTCCTGTCATCTTGGGTCCCCTTAGGGAGATTATAAACTCTTCTCTCGGAGGTTACATTGTATAGCCATACATGTATGTCATGTAGTTCCACATTTCATTTTATTTGAACAGTTACTTATTATTGCTTGGCCACTGAGGCGCGGATCTACACTTGCTTCCACCAATTCAAGGAAATCGGTCAGATTTTTCATCATAAATATACTTTTACTAAAAAAACTTTCCAAGTTGAAATCTGGCCAATATCCCATCTGAATGATTTGGAAATACAGGAGAGGAATTAAAGGAGTTAAAAATCCAAAACCTTGCCCGGGGGAGCCTTTGGCGTTCGTTCAGGAAATCAGTCAGTATTTATCCTAGATCCGTCCTGCCATTGTACGTTTTAATGTAAGCTCTTTAGTTTTTGTTTCTATGGTACCTCTTATAATATTCTTCTGAATTTATTTACTTGTCACTTTTGAAAGCAAGATAAACAATATTTCCCAGCACCTGTTAATTCACCCTTGCCTCAGATTCTTTACATCAACATGGGCTACAAGTATTCCATGGTACAAAATGTTCAGTCACAGTTTGCTTATACTACATCATCCAAATTGATAGCCTGAACAGTTGCTAGTTCAGCTGAAGGAAGTTCTATTAATTGGGAATTACAAACAGGTTCTTGCTCTAATAAATAATTGTCTATTTGGGAAAGAGACAAATTATCTACAATCATCTCAAATAAGTCATCGTCTTAGAGAAATTCATTCCACTCATCAAAAAACCCCTCGTCAAAATCATAGCCATTCTCCTCTAAAGGAGAAGGCTCAGATGACTGCATTCCTGTAGTCACATCATTAAAACCTTTGCTTATAACTTTCAGAATCTCCTGTGCATGACACATATCCCATATCTCTACAAATCTATAAACATCTGATAAACTGAAAATTGCATCCAGATTATCCAAAACTTGGTGATTTGGTGCTCGGAGAATCCAAGCATAGATTGTAAATTTGTCCTCACGTCACCATGAGCTGTTGTGTTCAACAGTTTGATAAGAACGGTCTTGTAGTATTGAACAAGAAGACCCTCAACAGTTTTCCTCTGCTCTGCATCCACTTGCCTTTTTCTAATTGATGCACCATTGTTTACTTTCTATTGAGAACAAGGATAAAATGCTAAAGCTCCACAATCAGGCAAACTGCATTCACAATCTGCAGCACATTTATCACAGCACAGATGCAGAACTTCGTGCTGCCAAGTAATGCAGTTAAAGTGCTTGAGCAGATTTGTTTTTACATATCGTTTCATATAGCCATCAATATGAGCTAGAAGGATTCCATGGTACAAAATGTACACACAACTTTGAGTACCATCCCTGCTTGGTCTCCCAGTTTCCTGAATATAAGATTCCACATTTTGGCAGGTCCATAGTGAATGACTCTATGCACTCCCTTACAATCTTCCCCCATTCCGAAGGCAATCGAGGCAATCAACAATTGAATAGTTCCATTTATTGACTGGAAGGAAAGAAGAATTTTCTCTTTGTTTGCAGATGGTGTGCAGGAGTGGAGCATTTCCACAAGTGCATTTCCTGGATCATCATCAGTTCCACTATAAATATCCTTCCCAAGGATGCCTTTGATCATTCCGTATAAAACACTGCATTGCTTGATAGTCTGGCAATAAATAATGCTAATTTACCTTCCAATGTTAACTCTTCAACCAGCCACTCAAAATAGAACTCATGATCAATATCTTTTTGCATAAACTGCACAATGTAAGTTACACTTGGCTTGTTTGGGCCTTCTTCGACTTCAAATGGTTTCTCCCTAAGAAGGATGTTTAAAATTGTTTCTTTTTATCAAGTTATTCGCCTTTGCAGTCAAAGCAATCATGTTGGCATTTGGTGCTAATGATCACAGCTCGTGAAGTCGGCCATAACACTCACGCAATGCTGCCATTTTATTGTCCTCAGATGTTCCCCTGCAATGTCTCCATGTATGTGAACTGTTAGTGGCTTGTGAGTGAGGAAAGAAAACATAAATTACGTTTAAAACAAAACAATACCAATGAAAACTTTTAAATTAAGATTGAATTCGTTTGAAATAAATCATTTTTTAAGAGTTTTACAGGAAAAGTATTGAAGAAACTGAACTTACAATGTTTCTAAGATAATTTTAGCAAAGAAGAATGGATAATTATTTTATATTATTGTTTAGTGTATGTGTTTGTTTCCCGTTTTTACTCACATTTTTATTAAAATATAAGTGAAATTGTTTCTTTGAAAGTTTGAAACGTCTGTGATGGAAATCGCGATAAAGCTCGGACTTACCAGTGCCGTAAAACATGAGGTTCATCGACAGCCACAACACAAAGTTTCTTCGAGTAGACATCATTACTCAACATACATAGCCAGCGCTGGTTCATAAGCCATGCTTCAGGTGAGCCATGGACAATTGAATATTCTCCTTTCTCTATCTTTGCACGATCAACTTCAACGTTTGAAGAAATATTTACGACAGACAGACCAAGACTTCTCAAATACTTCACTTGATCTTCCATCAGACTAGCCAACAGAGACACAACAATAACAGTATGACCGCTTTCATCGGAAACGTGGTCAAACACTAGTAGGAGAGCCTGGTATATTGGTGTCCGGTCGTTTCGATACAAAGTCGTTTCGCGATACAAACAATTTGCCATGTAAACGTGTCAAGGTGGGGTAACCCGCCTAAGCCGGGGTCGCGTGCATAGCAAAAAGCTCAAAAGCGAAAGATGTATGTTTTAAAACTTTGCACATTTCCTAGCCGTCTCATGGCAGAAATCGCCACAAACCGCAACGGACACACAAGGAGTGTAAAATGTTCACATTTCGGAATATTTCGCGTTGTAAATCGACCATATTTGGTTTCCCAAACTATTCCGTATAACGTATTAAGTCAACGGTTCCTCGCCAAACCAAACACCGCGTAATACAACGCGTGACGCTTTCATGAATAAATACATATGTGTTCGAGAATTAATCTTCCGTCTTTTTCGAGATGTGAGCTTGGGACGCCTCTGCTCAAACTTTTTAATTGCAAGCGCAACAATAACCTCAAGAAACTTCACCCCAGCACCCCGGGGTTGTAAGATTGCATGTGAACGCGTTTTATTTTTCGACCACGGCTGAGCGGGTTACCTCACCTACCTGAGGTCCCCCCCCACTCCATGTAAACAGGCCCTTAGGCGGCTGTGATTCCAAGTAAGCATTCAAGCCAAAAATATAAGTCGGTGCTCATTCAGGCGATAAATTAAAATATCTACGGAATCGTGAAAGATTTGTCGCGCTGGCTGACTTCCCTTCTCCTTGAGTTTTCAACAACAGCAGAAGACAAAGGGTCATTAGCCAGGAATCCAGTTCTATTGTTAAAACGAGGAGTCAAAAACATTTCTGAAGGACAAGGCCACTGCTGAATCAGACCCAAGAAGTCCATTTCTTTGCACACATAGCGGCTAAAGTCCGCCAAAACTTCTCCCAGAGACACTCTGGTACCTTAACGGTAGACTGTCTCAGTTGCGTGTAGTAGGGAGCAACTTCAGAATACCCGGCCACTCAATTTACATGTCATTGAATAAGAATAGCGTCTATTGTGTTAGGCCTCAATCTTCAAAGCCTCCTGACACATGTAAGTGAAGCGGATCAAAGTGGCCGGGTATTCTGAAGCTTAGTAATCGCGCTACTAGCAGCAAAATAGGCAAAATCGAGGAGAAGAGGAAAAGAGTGAAAGCATGCAGCAGATTGGATGGGTGTGAGAGTGAACTTCATGGCTAAATGTTCGAGAGAGCATCATTTTCCGTCGAAACCGGCTGAGGTAACAATAGTCATGTTGATGTTTTAACTTGAACCATGAGCTTTTCTATCTTTAGTCTCAAACTATAGGATGTCTGTCTTTCCTTCCTACGATCGCTGAAACCGAAGCTAATTGATCTCGAAGCTGTGAACGGCCGTCTAGCTCTTTCGATAGGAATTACAACTGTTCAGTTAAAATAATCACGAGGCATTTTCCTTCGACTAAGCATGTTATTGTATGTTTCACCACCCTATTTGCACCTTGTTATATAAAATCTCAGCGACTCTTCCTTACATTTGGTTGACATGAGTTAAGAGTTGTTGCACATGCATGCATGTAAATGAAATTCACGCGAAAATTTAACCGCATGAAAGAGTTTTTCTACCATAGCGACTCTAGTGAATTCGGCAATTTTCAGTTTCTTCAATCATGAAAGTCAGCGAACTTCTACTCCAAAATCTTCTCAAAATTGCTCGCCAACAATATCCGTTATGGTGATCCAGTCGTTTACTGTTTACATTAGATTATGGCTCATGAAATGCCTCCCTGGAAAATATCTGAACCTACCTACAAAGCCCTTTCAAGATACACGAAAACTTACATAATGTCATAGTACTTAACACTTACAAAGCACTAAATTATTGAGATTAAAGGCAAGTTAAGCCGAAGGAAATATAAATTGGGCCAACCAAGTTCCTTCAAAAAAATAGAAAGTAATATCGATTTTCTCTTTTTCTCTAGAACAACACAAACACACAAGGAATTTTTTACAGTAAATTTATAACCATCCCTTGGTCTTTTAAAAGCTTGAAGCTCCGTAGATTCTGTCATATCGGTCATTGTAAAAACTGTCTTTGTTTTGATGCTACTTTTCGACATAGGAAAAGTATGTCGGACAAAAATATTCACCAAAAAATAAATATTTCTTTGCCAGCTTCAATAACGACAGGGAATTAAGTTTAGATGATAAAACAAAGGATTATGTTCACAGAAGTACCATAGGTCTAGTACAATCGTCACATGAGGTCACTCAACTCGGGTAATATTCACGGTAAAAATTTGCATATTTGAGCGGTCGAACGAAAAAAGTCATTTCTCGAAAACTAAAATATATTTTCACAAAAAAACTACACCACAATTATTAGAACATATTGGGCTACAAAATGTGAAAGTTGGAAAAACGAATTTTGGGTGACTTGCCACAATATTTCAAATTTGTTCCATGGATGCTGACATCCTCTCTTAAGTACTCACTTTCCTGTGGGCGTTTTTTAGAGCTTCAACTGTACTGCTAGTGCAACGTTCTTCCAATTTTAGCGAGAAATTACAGTTTACAGAAGTTTATGTTTTTTTTCAAGTGAATCCCAACCGGCGGGGCCGATCACTAAAACAAAAAGGGCCAATGTCAAGTTAAGAAAGGTGAGACAATGTTAGTACTAGAGATACGGTCGTTACATGAAAGAGCTTGTTAGGAATGGAGGGATAATTACGGATTTTATCAGAGTAAGGAAAAGTCTTTTCAATCATTAGTCTTGGAAATATCATTAGATATGATCAATGATGCGGGGAAACTGTGAGTTAAAACAAGTACTAGTTTGGGCTTCCAGTTGTAATATGAATAGTCAACTAAATCAATTATTTCCTAATCACATTCATTCTATCATTTCCACTGCACAACAAAATCGTATACACTCTTTTTAACCTTATTCTCCAACCCTTTAAATTACAAGAGTTATGTGACAATTTGATGGTCTGAAAAGACTCTTATTACATGCTCAACAATAAAGAACCAGTAAGGCTGATATTTAACAGTGAGGGTAAAAAACAAAATATTTCCAAAAGTCTTTTTTTCCTGGGAACAAGACTAAATAAGGTCAGATGAAACTAACGTGGAGAGGTTCGTAGATCCCTTTAGGAAAACAGATGATTTACATCTATCAGATTTTAGAGAATTGAGACTTATCTCAAAAGGGGACTTTGACATTACATAATTTGCAGTAACGGGCATCAGCTTGGATGCCTATTTGAGGAAAGTTATAGTTTACTAGCCGGGGGTTTGGTTGTGCCAATTTTATGGCAGACAAATCATATCTCAGACACTTAAAAAATTTTATAGCTCTCACTGGAAGCTCAAACACTCTCAGGGAACGTGACAATACTTCACCTGATATCTCCTGTTCTTTTCCAATGAAATTTTGACAAAACTTTCAAAAACTTATTTAGTAATTTTACAGTTGCAAAAAAAGTATGCATGTAGCATAAACTAGTCGAGGGAAGTTGCCTGAAGAGAATAAAAGATTGATAATTTATGCCAGTAGTAAGCTTCTGGTACTAAAGACAATCTCTTGAATACCAGCTTGACGCAATAACCGTCGCACCTATTCACTCTGTCAATAGTACCAACTATACATAGTGGTGTCACTTCACATCTCCCTAAACAGCAGAGAACATAAAAGTTAATTCCTATCATCAGTCTCGAATAAGAAATAAAAATTGAAGGTATCTGGTGATTTCGCCAACGAGTGATTTCGCCAACGTCACGTTCGCCAAAGCGAAAAGTCGCTTCGCCAACGTCCTACTGGTCACTTCGCCGATGTATTAGTTAACTCTAAATAAAAATTTACCATTACTTCTTCTTGCTCCTGTGTGCTATTTACTTGACTGAGCTGACTTGATTTCCCCGTGCGAACTTAGTTTCCTTCTGTTATTTTGTTCGGACTTAGTTTCCTTCTCTTGTACGCGCAACTTAAAACACAGTGGGCCCACATAAATGCACGGCACGCCACGCGTCACCGGCGCTGTATGTTGCTGAATTTAACTTAGAGCAATAAAGTCGCGTGTGTGCAACCTTTTCCTTAAGTTCTTCTATAAGGTTTATTTGTCGATAAAAGAGATTTATATAATTACCTTTGAGACTTCTAGAACAGAGATTTATATAAATACATTGAAGACTACTACTACTACTAATTCTATAACTCCAGCGCATATTATAACTTCGATCAAGAGTATATAAGTATTACAAGAAACACAGTCAAGAAACACAGTCAAGAAACACAAATACCAGCAATAATGTTGTTTAGGTGGGTGATGCAACTGACCCGTGAGGAAACAGTATTTTTTCTGACGCTTGTATATTACCATATGAATAGACGCGTAAACTCATTGGGTTGAAACTTGTTAATTTTACCCTATTGTTCTAAATAAACCAATCCAATTGCTTGAAACTAACTGATATGATATTTCGATCCTTCGAAGTGTATAAAACACACTGGCATGCCAAGAATGTTCATTTCAATCATACGACTACGACACTCTACGACTCATAACGAATTATCTCGGAAACCTTTATTTCGGAATACTATTAATATCAGTTTAAACTGTATTGTTTGTCACGAACTTGTACGGCCTCGGCAGCAAGCGTTCAGTGCGATGGATGTTTTCGCTGGAACCATCGAATGTGTTACACCGGTAAGTTATATTTACTTATATATACTCTGATACTCTAAAAAGTAGAGACCTAGGCCAGGATTATAAGTTGATGGAGGATCTAATTTCTCTTTTATACAACTGTTATTTCTTATCTTACACCTAACAGAAGACATCTCCTAAAAGTAAAAAAAAAACTCAAACCATTACGCTCTCTCTTTTTTATATAAAAATCTGGACGAGAAACATTTCTTTTTTTTTACTTGGCCTAATTAAATTTTTACTTTGATTCAAAAGGTATAT